ATGTAAACCCCTTTGGGACCATGCACCAGTAAGTGTGTCTCAGTTTATTGTCCATGATTTAACAGACTTTGTCTATATAAGCACCATAACTCAATTTCTGCTACTAATGTTTACTACTTCCTAATAACCTTTAAAGGGATAGTTCACCCAAAAATTAAAATTCACTCATTCACTCTGATATCCTCTTCTGGAGCCATGTTTGCTCGTGGATCACAGAGGACATTTAGGTCTTAAACATGGTGTAAATGACCTTGTTTCAAATCGAATATGAATATGGATGACTTCACATGAACAGTATGGCGGTTGTGACATGTTTTTCTGTTTTATTGCATCTGAAGTCTAGGTCACCATTGACTTCAATTGCATTGGATTCTGCTGCAACAAAGTTTACCCCTGAGAGTCCAGAAGTGTCCATCGGCATAGCAGTGAGTAGATAATGTGTGAATTTACATTTTTTGGTGAACTGTCCCTTTAAACTACCTGAACAGAATACTCTGTAAGTCAGTTCCTTCAGAATAAATGTATAAATGTATAAACTTTATCAATGTCAGTGTGCAAACTGAAACACTTTATGTTTAAGTGCACTACAGTTCCACAGTGCAATGCACAAAGGAAATGGAGGAGCTCCTCAAGGCTGCAACACAAACGAATACAGATGCTGGTGTGAGACAACGTGAGTCGTGATCTTGAAGGAATGAAAATATTCTCAGAGAAATCTTCGTCTGCGTCTCAGGTCAAGTGTTTGGGTTGATGAAGGACTTTTACTAGTGTTATTGTTGATTTGAAGTGAGAGCTTCTCCACCACTGCGTGTGTATATATAACAAAACGTTCGATAAACAGAGGGAGAGAGTCAGATACAAACTTTGATAAATAAAGTTATAACCTAAATCAAGTGCGGTGAAATGTTAGTTACCTGTTTCATGGGACTTTCTCAGCATCTGCAACAATAAAAAACAATTGCTAGAAACATCTACCTCATGTTTGACCTCCTTACAGATATTAAACCCATGACTTAGATTTGAAACCTGTATTGGTTTGCAGTTTGAAGCACTGTGTAACGGTGCTTTTGAGAATTAAAGTCAATATTATTCATTATTAGTTTTATTTTCATTTGGAGGAAAATGAAAGTAAAAGCAGTTGTAACTTTAGTTAGTTTAGAAATCAGTCACGGGCCGAACTTACCAAAGCGTCCGCCTTGTCGAGGTCTGTGAGCGGGTACTGCTGCTGCAGAGGCTCCGGCCCCCGGCTCTTCCCCCACGGTCCCTTCTCCGCGTGCCGCAGCCGGCCCGGGCCGTGCAGCCTCCGCAGCTGCAGCAGCGGGGCTCCCGCGCAGGGAGGCCGGCGCCGCAGCTTCACCACCCGGGCGTAGTGGGCCAGGGCCTGCGGCAGCTGCCTCCTAAGGAACAAGCCCAGGAAAGCCATCACATCACTGGCTCAGCCCGGCTACAGCTACAAGTACGAGCCCAGAGCAGAAACACAACAAACGCATGTGCTGCGACCTCTGACCCGCTCAACGACAACCCGGAAAGGTTGCTCTGAAAAGAGAGGCACGATTACAACAGCGCCGCTAAGCGACCGACAGCCAACACGCAGCCGCACGACATAAATCTTTTAATTGAAAAGAATTCAAACTGCAGCAGATTTGTATTTTTTATCATTTGGAAATAATCAGTTTCATTCACCGACACTTATCCTGCAAATCAAGGTGAAAAAAACCTGCAACTACATATATACACCTCACGATGGCGCCAGAGCATAACTGATTTATGACGTGTTCACATTTATTTATTTAGTATCAAATTTCGAGCAGAGCAACATAAATGTTATAAAATCTGAAATTATGGATTGAAAAAGATATAAAGTAATACAGACAATAAAATAACATAAACATGAGATGGCACACGTGAATCTAAGTCTCAAAGTTATTACTTTTCTGCTTTTGGACCAAATAATATCTTTGCACAATACGTCAGGTGAAATTTATAATAAAAAATGTATGCATATCGTGTCTGCAAATAAAAAAAAACCATGTAAAAATCCCCTCAGGCCCCACAAGGTGAATTGGTCAGAGTGGGAACATAACTAGTACTTTAATGTCATTGTATGTTTGTTTAACCACTTCTTCTTCGGTGCCAATTTAATAAAATCACTACATATTGTGGAACTTGGATCATTCCAGCTGCAACAAAGTCTTTTTATCTATACAATTGTGCTGTATGGAAATTTAGCTTAATTGATTTTAACCCAAAAATACAAAGCATTTTTAAATCTGTGGCTTTTGGGTGATTTCCATGTTTTACAGAGATCAAGCAATAGATATAAAACCAGACAACATGACAGAAAATGTTAAGCACAGAAAAAAATGCAATGATAATGATATTATAATAAAATGGATGAATGATGCATATTCTGCAGCTTCCGTGCATCCAGCACTTCATGCTTTGTGCGTGCGTGTGTGTGTGTGTGCTCCCATGTGTCCTGTGTAAAGATGAGTGAACGTCCTCTTACTGAGGGTCTTTTGTCTTCTCCAACCCGCTGGGACCCAGGAAGACGAGGTCCACCTGATTGTTTGGTATAGAAAGCTGCACAGGGGTCTCAGGTCGGAGTGTGTGTTGACAGTGGGGTCTTTTACAGGCTTTACTTTGATGTGATGCACAGCTGACCCTTTGGTCCCTCTCACGCTACTGTCCCCAACACAATAGGAGACAGATGTTTGTATACGCACAAACAAACACACGCAAGTGCATGAGTTATATTTATGTCGTACAACAACAGAATCTGAAATGGATACTTCACATGACACAAACATTATTATAATCATATAAGTGAGTTTGTACCTTGTAAAGCTATGCTGTACTATACTATACTTCAACATAGTACTATATCATACTATACCAAACCACACTATACTATACTAAACTAAACTATACTATAACACCATACCTACAATACCATGCTACACTGAACGATACTATACTATACCACATCACGCTATGCTACACTACACCATTCTACTACACTATAATATACACCACTATGATTTGCTACTACACTACGCTATGCTTCACTACACTATATAACCCTATACTATGCTATGTTACGCTATATTACACACCACTACACTATACTATACTGCACTATGCTGTGTGGCCCAGTCTTCCTGAGGTGCCTTCCAGGAAAAACTACTTTCTGATGACATGAAGGCCTCTGTGGACATGTGTGGAAGTGTGAACATGTGGTAGTTGATCTTAAACATAAGCAGGTTACTCTGCATATTTATAAACCCGGGGGAGTGTGTATATGCATCCAAAGATGATGAGAAAGTTAGAACATTTATGGCTATTACTTCAGACTTTGTTCAGTATATTAAACAGAGTGAATGTCACAGGTGGCTTATGTCAAAATGTGTCAGTGTCCTGACTGTAGTGATGCCAAAGGAGAAGTAGACTCTCAGACTGTATTTTTCCATTAGAGGGTTTTTTGTCATGTCGGTGAACTCACCAGAATGCACAGTGACAGAGAAGCAGACTGTTTCACAGACTAACTGTATTTCACATTCACTTTAGAAAAGCGCAGCATAGACGGAACAGGTTTGGCATTTTTCACTGCACACAGTTATATATCACTGAGCTATTTTAAGCTAGTGGCACGGTTGATTCCTGGATTCCCCTGACTTTCCACTTCTCTGACCCCTATCACTGTTTCTCCTCTCTGCGATCTCTCACTTTCTTTTCCCTTTGCTCTCATTTCCTCAGGTCTCAACAAACCCTCTTTGTCCTTCCTCTCTAACTTGTTGTACATTTTCCCAGAGTGGATGATGGGTCTCAGCCTGAGACTCTCAGGACGCTTTTATATTTCTTTGTTTAATTCAAATTTCTGACTTGTCTGTTCACGAAAGAGAGGCATGGTGATGCAGTTTTAATGGAAACTGTTTTGATGTTAATAGCTTCCCTCCTCACCCCTTCTTCTCTCACGCCAAGTTATCCTCGATTCTTCTTATATGACCAAAAAACAAGTTATCCATGACACCAAAGCACCTGATTTGTGCTTTCATACATCCAGCTCCACTGAATATTTGCTTCTGCCAGTAAAACAAAGAAGACCCCCATGAATTTCTAATGTGCTATTTCTAAAACAAGACGTGAATGTGCATTTTTCTTTATAATAATAATTTCATGAAAAATTGAAAAAAAAAACAACATTATTTACAAGTTAAAAGAGCCAGAAGAAGATAAAATAATCAAGTTTCTACATATAAGCCTTAACTATCTGTCGACTCTTTGTTGTTCGCTCTGCTTGACTCCTGTGGTGTCAACAGAAATGAGAGCGAGGGGGAGGGAGAGAGAAATAGAGGGAAGGAGGAGGAGGAGATGTGTATACGTGCAGAGCTGCACTGTTCTGTGCTGCAGAGTCCGGGTGATTCCAGCCAGCTGCGTGGGGAGCACTGACCTTGGCAAAGCTTACATTGTTTTTTAATCCCTGGGACAAACAAGTGTTGGATACAAGTGTCAACTGGACAAATGATTTACTGACATTAGTAAACAGAGAGAAGCTACTGCATTTAAACGTTGCTGCACTACATTGAACAAACTCACAAGAATACAAGTATAAAACACTCTCTCTCTCTCTCTCTCT